AAAAAAAAAAATCATAATCCCCAAATGGTAGGAAACATCTGGAAAATTTATAACTTATGTTTCAACAATTTCTCAAATAAATCTGGGGGGATATTCTGAAAGAATTTTCCAATACCTCATACAAATGGACCTAGATCTAGTCTGGCTAAGTTACATGGCTTAGTTATATATATATTAGCCTTTTTATGAAGTCAACAATGATGTTCAGGATTTGTTATTAAGCATAAGAGAGTTATGCTTAATAAATAAGCAAGTCTTTTTTGAAGTTATCTTCAAAGAAAAATGTGTGAGAGATCATGACTTCCTTTCCAATTCAGAACGTCTTCAACTATCTTTTCCAGTTTCACTTGGCACAAAACTCAACCACTCGACTACTTAAGAGAACTTCTGTATGTGAAACAGAGCACCTATTCTCCGTAACAGATACCAGTTATGTGCAAGGATTATTTAAAGGGCTGACCATATGCAATAAAGCAAGGAAAGCAAAGGCCTTTGAGGGCTATCAGCCTCCCACTGTATCAGCTCAGCACCTGTGATCAAGGTTAACTCTTTTCTAAGGGACCTAGTTTAGAAACTCAGGAAACCCATGGTAGGTTGTTTACAATAAAGTTTCTTGGCCTTTTGGCTAAGATCAAGTGTCCAATAAGGTCCTCACTTCTCAACTCCTTTCCTCTCAGAACTCACTTCTTTACCACCAAAAAAAAAAAAGTTAAGAAGAAAGCCAAAATAGGACTTCAGGCAGTGGTTCTCAACCTGTGGGTTGCAACCCCTTTGTAACAACAAAAACACATCGAGGCATTAGGAATGTGGAGAACCACTGACTTAAGGCATTACCACTCTCTCAGATCTGCCATTTCCTGATAAGCCAGGCCAGTTGACGTCTGTTTTTAACTTATTCAAAATTTACATTCCTGGGCGGCACCCGTAGCTCAGTGGGTAGGGTGCCGGCCACATACACCCAGGCTGGTGGGTTAGAACCCAGCCCAGGTTTTTTGTTGACAACTGCAACAAAAAAACAGCTGGGTGTTGTGGTGGGTGCCGGGAGTTCCAGCTACTCAGGAGGCTGAGGTAAGAGAATCACTTAAGCCCAAAAGTTGGAGGTTGTTGTGAGCTGTGACATCACAGCATTCTACAGAGGGCAACACAATGAGACTCTATCTCAAAATTTACATTCTTGTGACTATAACATTTTTTTTTTTTTTTGAGACAGAGCCTCAAGCTTTCCCCCTGGGTAGAGTGTCATGGCATCACAGCTCACAGCAACCTCCAACTCCTGGGCTCAAGCGAGTTTCCTGCCTCAGCCTCCCAAGTAGCTGGGACTGCAGGCGCCTGCAAAAACGCCCAGCCATTTTTTTTGGTTGCAGCCATCATTGTTGTTTGGCGGGCCGGGCTGGGGATTCGAACCCGCCACCTTAGGTGTATGTGGCTGGCGCCTTAGCCGCTTGAGCCACAGGCACCGAGCCGACTAGAACATTTTTAAATTAATATCTAAAAACCTTTGGTTACTAACTACACTTGCAATTTATAAAGTTCAATAAGTTTATACAGAAGTCAGAGGTAAATCATGAAGCTATTCTTTCTCTGTATTAAGAATAAAAAGTGGGGCCGGGCGAGGTGGCTCACACCTGTAATCCTGGCACTCTGGGAGGCTGAGGCAAGTGGGCTGCTTGAGCTCACGAGTTCAACACCAGTCTGAGCAAAAACGAGACCCCCATCTCTACTAAAAATAGAAAAACTGAGGCAAGAGAACCGCATAAGCCCTTGTAGGAGGTTGCTGTGAGCTATGACGCCATGGCACTCTACCCAGGATGACAGCTTGAGACTGTCTCAAAAAAAAAAAAAAAATGAAAAGTGGTAGCAGAAAAAACTCATATTTTGCAGCGTTCTACTTTACGTTGTTGTGTGAATTTACTAAATTTTATTCAACTCTATTACTGTTTTGGATGTTCCTATCTTTGTGATATCCTTACTAATAATCTTAATAACATACAACTATTGCTCAACCTCAATCCTAATGAATTACCACCATGCATTTAACATTATGTATTTCTATTGTTTTTTAAAGTATTTTTGAAACACATCAGATCTAATCTTTTTCCCTCTCTTCCTTTTCCCTGGTAACTTTTAAATTCTGCCCATTCCTCTTCTAGAACTCTAGAAGGAATTCCATTCCACCTCCGAAGGACACCTAGTTTACATATTTGACCTACAGAAAAATTTCTCTGCAACTATTTCAAACGCTAGTAGAAAACTCCACCCAGTCAGCCTCCCACAATCCCTCCCTTCAACCATCCTGAAAGTCCCCTCCCCACCTTGTGCATTCCTGTGCATTTAAACTTCTTGTCATCACCTTCAAGGCTCCACTTCCCCCCTTGCCTTTATCTGTTTTCTTGTCCTCCCATTCCCCCAATTCCTGCCCCAAAGCCCCGCTAGCTGCCTGTTGCATAACGGCTCCCCCGTTACCGTCTCCCGGGATTGCCGGCCCCGCTCCCGCCGGCAGGAATGCCCCTTTTTGCCCAGCCCCTCCCTTCTGCAACACGCCCTGCGAGTCCCGGAGACGAAGCTCCTCTGGGGATTCTCTCTGCAGGCGAGGCAGGTCGTCCTTCCCGGCCGGCCACTCGGAGCGGGCCGCCGGTTCGTAACTTGGGTGTAAGCCCCCAGGGCAGAGCGCGCCCGCTCCAACCGCGCAGCCCCGAGCACCCCGCAGCACCGGCCAATCACCGCCGCCATCCTCCCGCTGGGGTGATGTCTTCAGGTGTCCGGGAAGAAAGCCCTGCGTACTTCCAGCCCCGCTCCCGGGCCAGCGGCAGGCGCCCCTTAGAGGCCCCCGGAGCCGGCGCCAGGCCCCGAGCGCGGCGGAGGGAGGCATGGGCGGGTTCCCGGGGTGGCGAGGCAGCGGGTGGGCGGCGGCGGCCAGCGGCCCAAAGGCGTGGGCCTGAGAGGCTGGTGGCGCGCGGCCAGGGATGGGCAGCGGTGGGGACGGCGGCGGCCTAGGCGCGGAGGCTTCGGCGGAGGCCCGGGGGAGCCCCCAGGCCGACACTGCCGTTACCGAGCAGCAAAGCCAACTGACTGACGCCGGGCGGGGGTCGCCCGCAGCATGGGCCACCGCGCTGGGCGGGGGCGGCAGCAGCCTGGGCCCTCACTCACCAACTGCTCAGCCCGCCCCTTCGCTCCCCCTCCTCACCTTCAGAACCCGGATCCCTCCAGGCTGGCGGCTCGCGGGCGCTTCGGACGGCTCCGGGGGCGCCAGCGGGCCCGCGGGCCCGGGCTCCACCTCTCCCATCGGCGGCGGAGGCTGCACAGGGACGCCTGGCCGGCGCGACGCCGCGCGGAGCCTCGGCGGCGCGCGCGAGCAG